CCCACACCCACCTCCCCACCAATTTGGATCGCTTGTTGTTCCCTTGTCCCTGGGTTTGTTATCCCCTCTTCTTCCCTTCCCCCCTCCTCCCCCTCGAAGCAGAGTGTCATCTTTCACCGCTGGCTCTTCCAATTTCCTTAATCCTGTTCCCCCTTTCGGTGGATTCTAAAACGGTGATTTCTCCACTTTCTGTTGATTACCCTTCTTCCTTGTAGCTCTAGCGTGCATATTCTGTTGCGGCCATGTTGCAAACTGGCCCCACAAGATTACCTACGATCGAGAAAGTGGTCTTAGATTCCCAGAGAGAAATCAAACTTGCTGCCATGGGTCTATCCTAACTCCTAGGACAGATGAGCACCGTCTCGGTCAGGTTTTGAGGCTGCCAATCTTTACGGGAGCAGAAAGCTTCATCTTTCGCCCACTGAACTGCGGGTAGATTTGAAGTGTGACCTTGTGGTTAGTAATCCAACGGGTCACCCACTATGCCATCAAGGCTCCTTGGATTCCTGGTGTGTGTGTGTGTGTGTGTTTAAAGCTAAAATCACTTCTGCAACTATTAGCTCCCAATTCTAAAGAATACCTGCAGTGCCAAGGTGGCCTGGCATATGGAGGGAGGTTTGCTGCCTGAGGACCCTGCCAGGCCCAACCTTGGCTCCTGGTGTGATGTCCAGGTCATGGCTCCAGTCACCCATAATGGTGAGTTCCCTCTGTGGGGCTTTCAATATTCCCACCTGCCAACTGGCACCCCTCCAGAGAACTTACTAAGAATGTTAACCTCAAAATGCCAGAGGTGAGTTCAATGCCTTTCTTCCCCCAAGGAAGAAAAGATGGCCCATGCTGAGACAAAATGGGCCCATTCCACTCTCTCCTGTGGGGACTAAGGGCTCTTAGACTCACTACCAAGAGGCCACTATGGGCATTCTTCCATAGCAATCTTGGGCATCTGGGTAGACTCGTTTAGCTTCTGAAGTGGACTATTTTTTTTTGTTTGGATGGTTACAAAAATTTTTGTGTTTTATTGTTTTTGCTGAACAACAGGTTTAAAATTTCATTTTGAAAACAGGGCTTGAATTATATAATTTTGATGAATTTATTTAATTTAAAAAAAAGGATTGAGATCATTGCCCCCAACTAGTCATTCACTCCTCCACCCCCACCTCCAGCCAGTCACATGGGCATCACCCACATCCCACTGTGTGCCTGTTATTCAGATGGTGCCCACTCACCCCTCTCCCCACATGACTGCTCTGAAGATACAGAGTAGGCACCAATTGTCCCATGGAGCTGACTACTTTTAAAGAGTAATTCTTTCCCATGTTTACATTCTTAGTCAATCGTCATCTATAAGGTCATTCCAACTCCCATTGACCTGAAAGGACAGGGTAGAACTACACCTGTGGGTTTCTGAGGCTAAATCTTTAAGGGGGTAGAAAAAGGCTTATCTTTTTCCCAAAGAGTGGCTAGTAGTTTTGAACTGCTGACCTTGTCCTTAGCAGACCAACATATAACCCAATGAGCTAGGAGGGCCACTATGAGTTGGAATTGACAATTTTATGGAGCCACTCCTAGTCTATATGGGGGTCTGTTGTGCAAGCAGTCATGGCTGGGTAAACCAGATGGTATATTAAGCAAAACTGCTTTATGCCATTCGTTCAACAAAACAAAACAATACAGAATTATTCTAGTGAGTTCATCTCCATCCAAATTTTCAGATAGGCTTACTATGTAAAATTATATTCCATGATGTATTTATAGAAGGGCGGCAAAAAATCATGGAAAATTAAATAAAAAGATAAAGGAAATTTTCTACGAACTTTTTGAAGTGTCCTCGTATTAAGAGAGAAATATAAACTATTTTGAGGCCAATCATGTACTTTTAACTGCTTTTCTTAAGGAACAAGACCATTCAAATATTCATAAACCAGCTGTCTTCCAGGCAATCCCATCTCATGCGCCTCCATGTGCATTAGCCCGCACAGTGCTCCACAGCATTTGCAATGGCTCATCTTCAGAAGATCGCCAGCGTTTCCTCAAAGGGGCCTCCAATCTCCAACCTTTTGGTTAGCAGTCAAAGGCATTAACCGGTATTTTGTCAAACATACAGAAACAACCATCATAACCCTCCATATATGTGTTCAGTATTATTTCAAGCATTTTCTCAAGAACTCAGTACAATAGGAGGTCAGTACTATCATCATCGCAATGTTCTTTTATCAGTAGAATTCAGGCATGGAGAAATTAAGTCACTTGACTTGGGCCACCCACTGGGTAAGTGACAGAGCAGGGATTTCAGACCCAGGCACAGTCTGATAGTCTGGGTGCATGATCTGGTGTTGATCTTTCTATGTCTTTCTTTAAAAAAGTGTTATTGGTCTGTCTTAATTAACTCATAAATATTTAATGAGCACCTACTCTGTTCTGTTATACTAATCACTGCAGGGAATTCAAAGAACAGGAAAGGTTGCTACCCTCCGGAAGGTCACACTTTGGTTGTTTCTATGACTATAAATCAACAGCGGTGTTCCGTTATTCTCCTAAACCAAACCTTCTCCGCTTGACCCCATCATCCTCCCAGTGGGGCTAGGGTTTTGTTATAGAATCACATGCTCACGAGAGTGGGACAAGCGCTAAAACCCTCTGTCAAATACATTTATTTTACAGATTAAGAAAACTGAGGTATAGAGAAGTGTCTCGTTTGAAGTCACAGGATTAGCGATCAAAGTACAACCAACTAGAAAGGCAGATCTCCCATCTCCTAATCAGTGTCACAAAGATTTATGCAACTTAAGTGTATACCAATTTAACTATTATTTAACCCCTTCTGTCTAAAAGATTCCTGTATGTATGGATAGTGATGAGTTGTACGAGCCCCCAATAAAATGTTGTTTTTTTTAAATTCCATAGTAAATTTTTCCACAGACAATACTCTTTTCACACAGTGAATTAAAACCACTCACCATCGCCCCAATCCAAGTCTGAGCCTTGGTTTTCATAATGGTATTTGGTGGAATTAGAAAAAAGAACATTAGTTATCAGCTATCAAAGCAAACAAAATCCCTTAATAATATGGGCAGGATGGAAAATAAATATGCAGGAAGTTGCTTTAGATGCCATATCTAGTTACCTAATCAATATTTCAAACCAGTGAGAGAGATAAAGTCAAATGTTTAAACGGATAGAATAACAATAGCATCAAACACTATATCGGGGATTGCTTTATGCACAGCACATGTATGGTATCATTCTATGAGACAACTGGATGGAGTGAACATCATTATCTTTATTATTTTAAGATGAGAAAACTGAACCTCAGGGAGATTAAGTAATTTTCTAAAGTCTTAAAGCTAACAAACACAGGAAGCCATGCTATTTCCTATTCTTGTTGCCCACTCTCCTTTGAAAAGGGTGGCAAACTGGGTGTCGGTGATAACATTTGCACTGAAAATTCAAAAGTAGTATTAAAGGTGCACACTGTTCATGTGGGCCCTAATCTGTATTTCAACTCCATATTTGAATAATCATGTAGAAGTTACTATGTGAGAAATTGTGTGGAGTATCAAAATGAGTAAGCATACTTCTCACACTCAAGGATTTAAAGCCCAATGGGGAAAAAAAAAGATAAGACAGGCACACTAACAGCTATGAGCTGAGCCAGGTTGTACTTAATACTCTAAGAACAAAAACAAAGATTTCACTTACAGGTAGCCAGGAGGGGGTTAGCAAAAGCTTTAGGGCAGTATTTGAGTCAGATGTGTAAGATTTTTGAAATCTAAAGAGAGACTTTAGATCTAAATGGGAGGCAGGAACAGCATGAATAAGGACATATTCATGAGGCAAGTCATCTTTGATTGAAGCAAAGGTGGTTTGTAAAGAGATGGAAGAGGAGGTAAAACTGGACCCACTAACTAGGGGCTACAGTGTAATGAATTACTAGATAAGGAATACAGACTTTATTCAAAAGGCAGAAAGACTTTGTAGCAGAGAAATTACCTGGTCAAAGACAGACTTGGTTAAAGACTGACCTGACTGTTTGTAGGGTGGAACAAGAGTGCAAAGCCGGCTAGACAGCCCAAGGAAGAAGCATTACAAAACCGAACAGCGGGCTGGGGAAGGAGAGGAGAATGCACAAGAGCTATTAGAGGAACTTTTCTGTAGAGAATAAGTTGAGTCAGAGGAAAGAATGAAGAAGGAAGAGAAAAGATGGCCCCGTGTTTTGGCATCAACATTAATACGTTTAGTGCAAAAGGTGAAAGGTAGGAGAAACAAACTGTTTCTGATGAGACGAGAGAGCCACACAGGAATTTGCCTATTCATCCCATTGGGGAGCACTCACTGAACATCTATGAAGCGGACACCCTTCCTTGAAGGCTCAGAATATATTCTAATCACTATAAGGAGGAGCTTATTTTTTTATTGTCCTTTCATGTTTAAGAGATGCTAATAATGGATCGTGTTCAACTCTTACTCTATTAAGCACTGCACTTTCAAAGGTATCACCTGCCTCTACACTTCTATACATTTCACTGTTTGTAGCCCTCCTTGGGGATTTACATGTAATTTTCGTGATATGTATTGTTTCAGTCTCCCACTGCACCTCATCCCGAGTAGGAATTCAGGGATGCTTGCATCGTTAAACCAGGTGAGTGTTTTTTCTTTTCGCTTCTGCGGTAAGGATCCATAGTTTCCTAGCCTTGTAGACCAGGAGGATCAGTAGCATTTCACATGCAGAACACATGGCGACTGTGAAAGGGGCCGTGGACGCTTCGGCTGCCTTGGGCTGTGAAAAAGAGAGCTGAATAATGGCCAGGGCCAGGAAGCTATTTAGCATCCCACTTTCAATAGCAACAGTTTTACACACTGGCGGAGGCAGCAGGCAGATCTTGGCAAAGGAGTAGCCCAACGACAAACCCAAAGCTGGAATGGCGAGGCTCAACAGAAACACCTCCAGGTTAACTGTTTTCAAAAACTCCACTCCCATTCTGAACGTGACATAGAGGCCTATAGACATTAACATAAAACTCAGAGGTCTAATTAGTTTCTCTAGGAAGTTGGCTTTATCAGGGAGTCTGTGCTTGATGACTGCCCCAAGTGATATCGGCGTAATTATGAAAAGGAGCGTTGACACAATTTTGGAAACGGGGATCCGGAATATACCCGACAACCCTAACGTCCTACTGTATAGATAAGAATTGATGGGCATCATTATCAGGGCTAACACTGTGGACGTGCAAGTCATTAATATGGCCAAAGTGATATCTCCCCCCAGAAGCAGGGCAAAGAAATAGCCCCCACCCCCTCCGGGACATGTGCAGGTCATTACAAATCCAAAAGCCTGTGCCTCGGGCAATGCCAAGATGCGAGTCAAAAGGAATCCACAAAGCGGCATGAGAACAAACTGGGTAGCTGCCCCAAGAATCACTGGCAACGGGCTCTTGCACACTGACTGAAGCACCCGTAGTTCAATCTTGCAGCCGAACGCACACTTATTTAGCAGTATCATCGGCAGCGTAACAAGCATGAGGACACTCCTATCAACATGGCCCGATGCCTGGAAAGGACTGGCTTCTCCTTGTCTGAGTACCTCGACTTTGACATTCTTAATTTCTTCAAGGAGTCCTTGTTGCCTACCTTCAGAATCCCACAGTTGAATGGTCAGATTTGTCTGTCCGTCTTCGCCGGTCACCAGGTGTATGGTGAAGTCTGTCACGTCCAGCGGGGTCTTGGTCACAGTCACCATTCGCAGCACGTTCGGATCTTCTATGAGCACAACGAGGGAGCTGGAGTTTGGCCGTTTTTCTTTGTAATTTGACCTTACGATGATGCTTTCTTCTGTTTTCGTGAAAAATCGTCTTTCCGCGTTTGCAATGCTCAACAACCGGGTGGCTAGCCGCTCCGCATCTCCCCGAGTCACAGACAATAAAAGCAAGACAGTAAGAAGTTTTCCACTCATCTTGAGAACTTACATCCACCGCAGGGGCAAAACCCGTTTTCAAACCTGAGCGAGCATTCTGCACACAGGCATGCCAGAGCGAGGCGGGGGTTCCCAGAGGGGAACAGTTGTTTGTGCCGGAGCGAAGTTCAGGAGGAGGGACTGCTGTACTTTTTACACAAAGAGTGACACAACCTGTTTAACCTGTGGTTAGAAAAGTTTTGAAACCACGCCATTTAACAGGTTCAACTTTTCACAGCAGAAACCTAATCTCTTTCCTCCCAACGTCCTCCTGTCTGCCAGTGAGAAAACAGCCTATTTACCTGAACGTAAAACCTTGGTGTCATCATGCTTGAATTCACTAAGAAAAAATAGACACTAAATGTCGCCAGGACCCACAGATCTCAGACAGACCATCTGTTGAAGTAGGTGTTACTATTCCATGCATGCACGTTAGAATGAAATAAACATTTGTTGACTGTCTGCTTGCTAGCACGGAGCCAGGAGTTATGCCATAGGAGTCAAACTAGATGAGGTCTCTGGCCTCCTGGAGCCACGTCCAGCGGCTTGTCATTTAGAAAATCTCGGGGCCTATAAACCCTGGTAACAACCTTACAATCCTGAATCGTCCTCACACAATTCTAGAGTGCCATTGAAACTCATTTTAGTGTCTTTATTTCTTAAGCAGAAAAATAATTAGCTGGATATTTGCTGGGTAGCTGGAAAACCCAGGGAAAAGTAGGTAGTGGGAGCTAGTCTGGTGAAGGGGCCACTGTTGCTAAACACTTGGGTGCTTCCACCGCAGGGCAGGGGAAAGGCGCGGGAATGAATTCTAGTGGCCTATTCCTTCTGTGTAACAGCGGCTCCTGTTCACGGATTTGGGCAAGGGCATTCAATTGCTGGACTTAGTTTCTATGCCGTGCCTCAGCTTCAGGGATCAAGCTTTTTGTGTGTCAGTCCACCAACTAACCCAATGTTTTATTTCCCCCATAAAGGAAGGAGATTGAGAGGCTAGTGAGCAAACCAAAGCAAAATTACAACAGTTTGCTATTGAGTCCAAGGATCTAGTAATCCTTGAACCGATGATCATTTCCCTTCATATGTTTGTGATGGAATCTCTGGCATACCTAACTTTTGTATAAAGTATTCTAGATCATACAATATTTTCTTTTGGAAAACTGTCAAGGCCATGGTTATTGTTCCTCCTGAAACATTTCTTAAAATTGCATTGTTCCTGTGGGCTAATCTTTCACAGGCAGCTCTAAAGGTCACTTCCATTTACCACACTCAGAGAAACAGGTAAACCTGGTCAGTGTTGGGATTCGTTCATTGCTATCATGTTCATTTTGACTCAAAGTCCTCCTATAGAGTTTCTGAGGCTGTAAGTCTATGAATGCATAAGCAGCTGGTAAGTATATGTTGGAATCTTTACCCCTTATTCAAAAACAATGTGAAAAAGCCAGATTAGAAATAAAATAGACCAAATGAGCATTCTTGGTTTTTGTTCTAAATTAGCTAAGGCCACTATGTACCAACCATGGCAATTATACTAGGAAGGGTCCAAGAACAGAAATATACTGTATATACTCGAGTAAAAGCCGACCCGAGTATCAGCCGAGGCTCCTAATTTTACCACAAAAACTGCATTAAAAATGTGCTGAAAAACTTGGCTTATACACGAGTATATACGGTAGCTTCTATTCCTATTATATAAAAGCACTTTGTTGGGTATAGATGAAATACCTAGGTCGGGAGCACTGACTTTCCTTAGTAAAATGTAGTAACTTTGGGCATGTGCTTTGCTTTTGAAGAAAAGGGTTGCACTTAAGTTGGCCTAGCTCATTCTTCTCATTTGTACTTGCAAGGGCAGTGAATTATTTAATACGGTTCTTCTAGCCAGACTCTAACTCCCACCAAACTACCTTTTTCTGCCTGGGTCTGGTAAGACTGATAGGATTCACCTGTTGAGTAATTGCGCACAGGAGTCCCTGGAATGCTGTGCTGCTGTGTGTAAAATGAGCCCTCTGGTAGCAGGAGGAGGGATCTCATTAGCAGCCAGAGCGAGGAGTGGAGCATGTCCTCTGGACCCTGGTCCCTGTGCAGTGAGGCTCCTGGAGCCAGATGACAGCTATAACAACAGAGGAGCAGCACTACAGCATTAGAAGCCAGAGCATCAAACAGAGTGGTTGACTTCTCACAGCCCACAGAATAAGTGAAACAGAGCTTTTGTGCAGGAGGCTGGCTTGTAGAGTAGGGTGCCTCTGAGCACTTACTTGGGGAAGCTGGGTTTTCTGACCCACAAAAGCAGAGCTGAATGTCTTTGGGTTGAGGCTTACAGTGGAGTGGTATACCGCTGTGGGCATTTATTAGCAGACCTGAAAGAACTTTGTAACAAGTCCTGATAAACAACTTAATCCTGAGCATTTCTCACTGGCCCTACAACTTGTTAACTTCCTTAACAAACCCTTTAATCATGAGTTTTGTCTGCATTCTGTACAACCACTGCAATAGGTATGTTCTAATAAAGGTAGGGAAGTAAAATAGAGAACACTAATTAAGACAACACAGCATTATAGTCATACAAGCAAAAAGTGAGGCCCAATGGGTAAGGTGCTTTGTCAGATATATGCCCTGGAAGAGGTGATACCAGAAAGTCATTTCTCCTTCTGAGGTCTCTCCAAACTCTGAGAACGCTGAATCTTGAAGTTTCTATGAGATCAATTTATACATAGGGATAAAGGTAGATCATAAGTGTCTATGTCTTGGCCTTATGAGGCTAAACTTGGCCGTATGACTTGCTTAAAGTAACAGTGATACCTGTATCTTCTACAAGTCAATATGTCTACCATCTCCTTCCCCCTCTGCCAGAAAACGACAATGAAGCAGAAAACGACGGTCTCTTCAGCGGAGGTTTAGGAATGAAGATGACACAGAACAGAGCTAAACTCAACCCACAACTGACAATCCAATGACAAACACATCTCTGCAGTTTTTACTACAGCATGGCCTAAGAAAGGTGATTGCTTATAAGAATTTCATGACAACTGAGTATCAGTTTGTGATTAAACTTTAAAACATACAAACTCTGGCTAGGTTTAATAAAAAATTGATAATGTAAATTGAGTTGCAGTCGATTAATATGGCCCTTCTAGCTACATGTTCTTATGTGACATAATTCTGGACTCTACACCTGTGGCTATAACACAATTCGGGAGGGTCAAGCGCTGCTATTGTAATGGGCAGGAGTTAGGGCGGCTTTACGGCCTGACTGTAGAGGAGGGTGTGGACCAAGGCACATCCTTTGTTTCCTTGGGGGCATCTTTAGATGAATCCAGGTGTGACTTGAGACACCGTCCTGTGTTTCTGTGGGCACTCTCTTCAATAGAGAAAAGCACCTCTATCGAGGCTGTTCCTGGGGAGCTTGGGTAAGAGAGGGAACACTGGCTTTAACTTTCAGACATTTACGGCTCTGTCTCGGGACCCTGCATTGGCTCGGCACTACCCGGCCTTCTGATTCAGGACTTACCAGCACCTCACAGCCATGTGAGACCTGTTCTCAAAGTTCTGTGAGTTTCTTGGGGTGTTGCAGTGAATCAAAGAACCCAGGGATGTGAGGGAATATACTCAAGGGAGGAGTGGGGGCAAATTGGAGAAAAATCGCATCTTGGAAGAGTTGGACATGTGGGACATCTTTAATTTCCAACTATCTGGGATCAGTCTGGCATTAATTTCTTCTAAAAGATACTGTCACCATATAAATTATGACAAAATGGAAATATATTAAAAAGCAAATGAAAAAATAAGTAAACTACATGATATTTGTCACTTAAAAGTAGACTTAAATGCATGCATAGAATTGTCCTTGTGATTCCTTGAACTACTATTCCAAATAAGAGTCAATATTTTTTAAAAACTGTTCTTCATCATTAAGATATTCCAAAATAATATTGCCACCATTATATAATGGACACTCCTCCTTAGCAATCCATGTTTCCAAAACACTGTCCAGGGGTAAGGCTTCTCCGGAAGTAACATGACATAACCTTAATTTCTGTTAAACGAAAAAGAAGTCATATTATAACAAGCAAACATACTTCTATAGCGTTTCCTTTAGCGTTTAAGGTAAAAATTTATGACCAGTAGCTGCTTACCTTAGCTGTGGATTTGTTATTGTCATTTTTAAGGCTGGCTAAAGTAGCTGCAAAGTCTATGGCTTTCCCAATGCTCCATCGGAGGCAGAAAAACATTGGTTTACTCTTCTCCTTGCTACCCTTGGGCAAGAAAACCTGAAAGTAAATCCTTTCTGTCTGTAAAAAAAAAAAAAAAAAGCTAAGCTATGAATTACATGAGATGTGGAGGCTCGGTGGTACTGCTGGGTAAGTGTCAGTCTGCTAGCCACAAGTCTGAGGCTCCAATAGATGAGGCCATCAGCTCCTATAAAACTGTATGGCCTTGGAACCTTTACCCAGGGGCATAATGAATTGGAATCAACTCGATGTTGGGGATTTATTTTTTCTTGGTATATTACATACCTTTCTTTGCACACACTGATGAAGATCAAAGACAACAGCCTTCAGTGTGGATTACACCTCAACATAAAGAGAACAAAAGTTCCCCCACAGCGCGTTCAAAAAGCAGCATCATGAAGAACCGAGAAAAGGTGCAAGCTACCAGGGTCCAGCATCAATGCCTATGGAAGCAGCCATCAGAAAATCACATGGCACGTTGCAGTGGGACAATCTGCTGCAAAAAGTCACCTTACAATGTTAAAGAGAACAGTGTCACTTGAAGACTAGCGGGCCTGACCCAGACCAGGTTATCTTCTATCACTTCGCATGCCTGGGAGAGGCCCTGAATGAGGAAGACCGGAGAAGAATAGACGCACTTGAGTTGTGGTCTTAGTGGACAGCAGGGAAGGGGCTGGGACTGCTAGAAGAACAATCAAATCTGACTTGGAAAAAGTACTGCCGCAATGCTCCTTAGAAGTGATGGTGGCAAGACTTTGCCTCACATACATTGGTTCACGTTATCAAGAGAGAGGAGACCCTGGGAAGGGACATCCGCTTGGTGAAGTGAAGGGTCAGCAAAAAGGAAGACTCTGGATGGGATGGACGGACCCCATGACTGCCACAATGGGCTTAAACAAAACAACTCTGAGTGGGTTCAGGACCAGGCAGTGCTGCTTTCTGTTGAGCACTGAGTCACTATGCGCTGGAAACAACCCGACAGCACCTAGCAGCATAGACACTGTCTGCTAATGTGATTATTCATCAGATAATCTAAGAGGCTTCAACTCAAACACTACTATCAGGTCAATGCCCACTCACAGTGAGCCTGGAGGACAGAGCAGAACTGCCCTTGTGCGTTCCTGGGAGCGCAACTCTTTACTAGAGTAGAAAGCCTTCCCATGGAGTGGCTGGCAGTTTCAAACAGCTGACTCTGTGGTTAGCAGCACAATGCGTAACCACAACACCACCAGGTCACTGGTAAGAAAAAAAATTCGAGCTAACAAAAGAATTTTCTAGTGTAGTTGAAAGGGGTGAACATCTAGGAGTCAAGATTTTTCACCTAGTTCTCCTGCAACCACATATGGTATTAGTAAGTTACAGAACCTTCTTGTGACTCCGTTTTCTCCGCATAGGACTGCCTCATAGGCTTACATTAAATGTGTCAGAAGCATTCTTTGAACACAGCAAGTAGTATAGAAGCTTTTGTTATTATGTTTTGATAATCAAGAGTGGCAAAGGCACATGAATTGGATACTTCAGGGTAGGCCTTCTCAACTTCAACACTATTGACATTTTGAACCAAAAAGTGCTTGTGGTGAGAACTGATGTGCACACTGTACAATGTTTGCCACATCTCTGGTCTACACTCACTAGCCCCTAGTGATCCCATGCAGGGTTTCTAAGACTGTAACCCTTCACAGGGGCCACTAGCCTCATCTTTCTCCCATGGGGCATATGATGGTTTCAAACTGCTAACCTTGGGGTTAACAGCCCAACTTGTAACTCACTGAACCACTAGAGCTAGATTCATTTTTTGAATGAGCATCCCTGGTGGCGTAGTGGGCTATGCATTGGGCTGCTAACCTCCAGCTGCTCTGCAGAGAAAGGCGAGGCTTTCGACTCCCAGCAAGATGTGCAGCTTCGGAAAGCCGCATGGTTGCCATTCTTTGAACTCGACTCAATGACAGTGAGTTTTGTAAATTTATAATAGCTACGCCTGCTAAAAAGCTTTGACATTTTTAAAACATTAAAGGAAAATTCAAAAAGAAAAAAATTAAGGATATCACTGAAATATAAGTATAATCAATGCTCTCCAAACCAGTAGAACAATTTGGAATACACAATATTCGATGAATACAACAGATGACAGGAAAGAAAGGCAGAAGCAAAGAAAAGAGAAAAAAAAAAGACCAGCTAGGAGAAGACAGGAGCTAGAAGAAGGAAATTCAACTTATCAGCGACCTCAATAGCTATCAATGGATCCAGTTCAATGACAGCAGAGAGGCAATAACAAACAGGATCAGGAAAAACAAAAACAGAAAACAGTCCAGCTCTCTGTCATTGTGCGAGAGAAACTCTAGAGTCAAACAACAACACAGATCAGTTAAATATAGGGATGAAAAGAGCTAGAATAGTTGCCACAGTCACCAAATACAGCCGTGGAACTACATATCCATTTAAAATGGAATTTAAGGTAAAATTTATAAAGAAGATCGTACAATAAAGAACTTCTATGCATTTAATATTAGATCTGGAAAAACATTAGAATTACAACAAAAAGACAGAGAGAGAGAGAGAGAGAGAGAGAGAGAGAGAAAATGCCAGAGACAGAGAGGAAGCTTTTAATCCATCTCTGAGAAGCTGAACGATAAAGCAGACCCAAACAGAACTGCTCTGACATCATAACCAGCAACCTTGCAGGCAGACACTGCCTTCAAAGACCCTAGCACCAAAGGGATACATAACTTAATTTTCCCTTTTTCTTTTTCAAGTACGTGTCAAATGAATCTAAAAATTGATCAGGAACTGGGCCACAGATGAAGGCTAAAGAAGTTTCGAATTATTGAGACCACAAAGATTCCAACACCAATGTAAAACAAGTAGAACATTTAAAAAAAATAAAATTAATCCACAATGTAAGCTAGAGAGGAATCACACTGGAAACAACAAATATCTAGAAACGATCTATAAAGGATGCATTAGTAAATCAATAAAAATGGCAGCCCTGTTTTATTACACTTAAGAAAACTTACAGACAGTAAAAAGAAAAATAAACCAAAAACCCAAGAAATGAAAACTAGTCCCTATAGAATACTTACTCACTACAAGGTGAGAAATGTAACTGTATGGCAGAGATATCTAGCAGATACTACCTTAACTAAAGAAGAGAAATAGTCCTGATAAAAAGGGACCAAAGAGACATGAAATTTAAACACTTAGCATTTGGATGGGATCTATGATTGGGGGGGGGCGGGGGAGAACCCAAGGATAAAGTATATTATTGAAAAATGTGTCAGAGATAGACTATGAATTAACTAATATTAAAACTTGTGACTTAGGTAATTATACTGTTGTTATATAGGAAGATGTCATGCATAAAAGAGCATGATATAAAAATCTTTCAAATAGCAGGTGAACACACAGTTGTGTGCATAGAGAAAGAGGGACCACAAATGAAAACAGGGAAAAATAAAAATATTCGGTGCATTTGGATAAAAGACATAGAAGAAAGCTCTTTGAGGTCTTGTACTTTTCTTTAATGATATCAAAATAGAAAGTTACTTTAAAAAAGCCAGATTTAAAATACATGAGTTATTTCTTCAATGTAAGAAAGTGAAAAATGGAACACCAGAGAAAATCTAAACATAGCAGAAAAGAGAAATAATGTAAGAGCAGATATTAGTGGGGCAAAAAATAAAGGGGAGTGAGTTGACAAACCCAAAAGTTACGTTATTTGAAAGGACTGATATAAATAAATTAAGGCAGGTCACTAGCAAGATTAATAAAAAATCTTAAATATTATGAATGAAATGGGTTTTTGGAAGGTAAGAGTACGGTACTAGCTACCAATGCCACTAAATAATAATCAGCAGGTCAACTTCATGGTGAATTTCTTAAAAGTTAAATGAGACTTAAGTAGGGTTTAGCTAAGAACATATGAAAGATTCAGCAACAGAATATTTGTGTAATGTCATGTCTGCCATGGACAAGAAAAATTAATGTTATGGCAAAAGGTAATACATAGAGGGGGGAATGGTAAATCCTTAGAGGCCACACTGAACAATTAAGTTCTAAATGGAAAAGTGAACAGATGATCACCACAGATGTATTTTTTAATTACAATTTAATATCAATTCATGACATAAATTTATAATAAACTAAGAATGGAAAGAAATACTCTTACCCTGCTATCAAAACTAACAATGTTTAATGGTAAACATTAGAAACATTGCACTGCTATTACTCATCTTATTCTGTGGGTCTCAGCCAATACCCTAGGATCAAATAGTAATAACAACCGTAACAAGAAGGAGAGGCCTTGTGGCATAGTAGGTCACATGTCGGGCTGCTAACCAGTCAGTAGTTCGAAATCATCAACTGCTCCGCGGGATAATGATGAGGCTTTCTACTTTTGTAAAGATAGGAAGGGGAAAGGGCTTTGGGAGTAACACATGAAGACAGGAGGGGTGAGGGAGCACTAAAACAGACTTTGATCGCATAAATCATCTTAAAGGTGATTTAACTATGGGGGTGGCAGTGGGTAATGCTCTAAAATTGATGTGGGAGTGATTGCACAATTCTCTGTGATATGATTGAATTACTGAACTACTATATGAGCCGGAAATTTGCAATAGAACTGTTGGGGGGCGGGGGAGCTACAGACTGGAAAATATACAGGGGCAGTTGTACTTTGTCCTGTAAGGTCACTGTAAGTTGGAATGAACTCAATGGCTGTGAGTTTGGCTTATAACAAGGAGGTGGAAGAGAGGAAGAATACTTGGGTAGAGGGGAGAAGACAAAACTCATTTTCAAAAGATATAACTGACTACAAAATAATCCCAGAATATCTAAAACTATAAAACCTACTAAGAAAATAATTTGCGACACAGAAAGTTAACATGCAGTTACTAATTCAGAAAATATCTTAAGAGAAAAACTGTATCATTTATTATAACAGCAAAAGCTTAAAAACATAAGACTAAGAACATTCTACAGTGTTCATGAAACACAAATATAAAACTGTGATAATAATATGATGAAATATTATTTAAAGATATCAAAAATGTCGTAAGAATGAGAATAGACCATAAAAAGGTCAAAAAGAACCAATATTCTAAAGACTTTTTTTCTCATCTAAAATCAAGTACATTCCTATCAAATTTACAAGGTCACAGAACAGGACACAGTGACTCCAAAATTTTTTAACAGATAAAATTGCCAAGAATAGACAGGATAGGCAAAGGATAGGGTAATAAGACTTCCCTGCTTATTATAGGTTATGACAATTATGAAAGTTTAATACAGAGACAGACACACAGAACAAAGGAATTAAAGTCCCTAAGTGTGCCCTCACATGCACAAAAACTTGTGTGTGACAGAGATGGCGTTGCAGGTTACAAATCAACAGAAGTTGGATAAAGGCTTGAATATCTCACGTTGTAACAGGGTCACCCATACAGAAAAGGAAAAAAGTATATCCCTAAAGCTGGACATCCTCAGCAACAAAGTTCCAGAAGAAAACCATACAGCCAATAAGCAATGCACAGTAGCTTACTCTCAACTAGCAACAGAAAAATTCAACTTTGAACTGCATTGATTGATAGCATACCTATTTCATACTTATTAGACTAGTTAACAATGAAATGCTGGCAAAAAATACAGAAACTCCCAGACAGACACTGCAAGAGGAAGATATATCAGTATGGCCACTGACAAAAGGAAGTTGACAGACTATAGTTATGTCAAAAATACACAAACCCCATCTCAACTTTTCCATTTCTAGGTATACAATAGCCCCTAAACCACCATTTTCCATTTTGATGGTCTCAATTGATCTGAAATTATAAAATCAATGTAATGGGATCTGACACTTGAAAAAATGAAATTAATAAAACAATCAGACTAAGTAACTCTACAGTAGGCTAGATGATATTTCATGACACTGTGCTAAGTTAGATGGCATTGTTGGGTTAAGGGTTGGACTACTAACCACAGGAGAGAAAGGATGGAAAGAAACACTGTTAACCTGCTGAAGGCCACTATCAAAACTAACAATGTTTAATGGTAAAACTTTAGAAGCATTGAATTAAAAAGTTCAAATCCACCAGCTGTTCCACAGAGGAAAGATGAGGCTCTCTTCCCATGAAGACTGATGGCCCCTGACTGATGACCCACATTGGGTCACTCTGAGTTGGAACGGACTTAGTGGCACTGGTTTGGGTCTTTGGTTGGTGCTAAGTTATGTATGTATGTATATGTGTACACATGTATGTGGTGCTAAGTTGTGTATATATGTGTATGTGCACACATATACTAGGTTGTTATATAAAATTAAATGATTAAGGGTAGGGTTTTATAGGGACAGCCATAGAGAAATTCTCCCACACGTACACAAAGACAACCATTCATAATAGTAAAAAATAATTGGAGAAAAACAAATCTAAATGTTGTGGTATATTCATCCTACAAAATAATATGTGTCCACTAAAAACAAATACTCTAGAATAAATATTATCTGCACAGATAAATGTTAAAAGCATGATAGTAAGGGGGTGGAGCAAGTTGAAGAACATGTTTGGTACATTACTATCCCTATAAAGTTCAAAAACTCACAAAACTATATATCCTTTATGCAGAATTATACCATGCAATATTAGAAATGATAATATACCAGGTTGAGAAGACTGTTGAAAAATGGGGTTTCAACTATGTATTTTTAAATTTGTTTTCCCCCCCATTTCCTAAGACCAACCTGTGGCAATGATTTATCGCCATGAGCATGCAGCTTTAACTTCATCAGTGCAACCTTTGCAGCTGTTTCACTATTTTTGGCACCTTTTCGCCGTTTGCTCACTGTCTCTCCTGCCTTGGAATCTAAGAGAGAAGCACAAACATGTAATACATAAGGATTCTATCATAAATCACTTATTAATTACAGCCCTGAGTCTTCCACCAATTACAGGCAACTGAGATACAGATATCACATTCATTTACAGGCATTGAATTTATAGGCACAATGAAAAATCACCATCCAGGATGATCTCAGCTATCCTCACTCATGTCACAAAACTCAACTGCTATGTTTCCTTCCATCTTAAGCCTATTTAATGCAAAGCAACCACTAACACATCTACAGAGAACTTTAAGATTTGGTTATGGAAGAGATTCATAAGAGTTCTAACCCTAATGCCGAATATAATTCTGTTGAACTAACATTGGCAAACGACTGAAATATGTCACGTATTCTTCGCTGACACCTCATATCCGCAGCACCATTCATAAGAAAGCTGATGAGGACTCTTATTTCAGTCTTTAGAGAAAGCAAAGCACTACTAAACTTCAAGAATAGCATTCCTACTGTGATGCTTAATCAGATGATCTAAGTGGCCCAGCAAAAGAGAATACCTGGCAGGGTACATGTACACAGCTAGTAATTTTTTATGGTCAGATAGGCCTGGTGAGAAATACTGTCACAGATCAAAATCCATGGTAAGTCCTCAGCATCAAGGTTCTTAACAAAAGTTTCTAGAACCGCTAAGTAGACATAAAAAACAGGCTCTGAAACTAACACAGTATATGGCAATAAGAAAATAACAAGGCTAGTTTATTCTAGATACTTGCCAATGATATTTTGAACAAGTTTCTGAGTAGCAGCCATCCGAGGCTTAGAGATTTCCAGTTTTTCACATTCATGATCTGACTGATGGCGGTGTCTATGAATAATACAAGAGTAACAGTAGCGCACGTGTTTGCATACAATTCAATTAGATACACGGGGCTTAAATGGTGTAAGTGATCACCTCAGGCAAAAATTCTTCTCACAATATGGACATCTGACTGGTACAAGCTCTTTTTCAGTACAGTCCTTGAAGGAGCATGGGTAAGATGTATGCATATCTGTCTTCAGTCTCTCATGGATTATATTTACCTACAAACACAAGAAGGAGAAAATGGCATTACCTTCCACATTCATAACAAATCAATAAATCTATTTTGGTAGGTAGCATTCATGTAAACCCAGCTTAATGAGGCAAATAACATTCTCATGTAATAGATTATATGAACACACTTTAAAAAGATCATGGAAATTTTCATTATATTTGAATTCCATTTTTCCATAAACTTTTTCACCAAAAAACAAATTCTTTATGGGGGTAGAAAGCCCTATCTTTTGCTAGTTTCAAACTGCTGACCTTGCTGTTCATAGCCCAATGCATAACCACTACACCACCAGGACTCTGTGCCCTTAAGGCAATGGTACTGTACAACCTGTTGCTGTCTAGAGCATTCCAGGTCATAGGGATCCACCCTGTAGGGCAAGCTGACCTGCTCCAGGAGGTTTCCGCAGAAGCAGACCGACGTATGTTTCCCAAGGAGGGCCTGCTGGGTTCAAACCACTGATCTTTTGGTTAGAGGCTGAGCACCTAACCACTGCACCCGCAGAGCTCCTCTGACAGGTGAGCAAGTGTGCCTGATTCTAGATGTCCTGTGCTGATGCTGGCGGTCTGCTAAGCTTCCACCACTCACTGTATCCTCTATCAATAACAGAGTGGACAATTTGGTTTCTAGCTTGCAGGCCCCTTTGTTAATTTGTTCAGAATTAGGGGGAGAATTTTTAGATAAATTTTTTTTTCAGTAGAGATTTAATCCTAAAGCCGAGGAAGCAAGAGAAATGGATTACCACAGAAACCTTTTCACAGATAGTCGTGAAAATGCACACAACAGTGAAGGAAATCCAGAAGTATGTAACGAGGATGCTAATGCATTATCCATTTGTATACACATATATTGAAGCTGTAAATGGGGCCATAGGGTAGGACACTCAGATGAAAAGAATTATAAAGGTAGAAAAATTATAAATACCAAGTAGACCATTTTTTCTTTAAAACAAACAAAATACTACAAATAAAATTAAAGCCTCATAAAAACTCATAAATTAGCTTAACACAGGAAATTTTAATCTGGAAAAGCATACATGAATAAAAGTACATTTTAGGTAAGAGAAATAGTAACTTACGTACTTCGGAACAGCCATGTGACTCTCGGCTTCTGTGTTCAAGGCTTAAATAAATTTTTTTTAAAAGCATTTGTTAAAATATAATCAAGTAATGTACTTAAACAAAGGTGGCTATAGTAATAATACATAGTTGAATATCCCCAGAGTTTAAAACAGTATCGTTCAACTTTGATACAAGTGATACTTTGATACTACTCTAAATTTCTGTTCCACTGAGCACTTTAAGGTACTTAAAACCTTCAAAGCCTTGTGATTCATTTATTGCTCAAAAATCATCAATAATGAAATATCAAAGGAATTCTCTAGTCTTTGATGATTTATAAGGATACATTACTTTTATTTATTTGAAAATCTAAATTAGTCTTTGAAAATAATTAGTTTTTTCAGGGGTCTATTCAGTAAATTAAATGCTTACTGAAATATGACAATCTAAAACATAAAAATTTAATTACAATGAAAATCCATTTTAAAAATCCTTGTTAGAGCCCAAAGTTTGCTTTGTATGTGATGTGTGCAAACGGCATGTGACAGCCCATGGAGAGAATTCACATACTAGATATTGCTCATTGGATTATTAAAATAAAAGTGAACAAGCATGATCATTTAAAAAAAATCATTTTCTTCATATAGTGTATATTAATCTTTATAACCAAAGGATTCAAATATTACTTCCATATAAAATTCACACATACAAACCCATTTCTAGTTGTTTTAGATTAGCCACAAAAATGCCTGAGTAATCGGAGTCTAGGACAAGTCTATATTTCTTTTTCCCACATGGTTACTGAACTGAAAATTAGATATCAACAGATATCTAATTTTAAATCATTCTACTTTTCTGACAAAAGCCCTGTTACAAACATTAAAATTAATCTAAAATGTTGCATAAAATCTTAACTTACCAAAATATTCCTGAGCAACCATCACACACAAATGGAAGAAAATCTGAAAGGAGGGAAAATATCAAATGTACTGTCGGCATATGATTTTGATTTTTTAAGAAACAGAATCTTAAATTATGAGGACTTCTTGAGAAGACTTTCAGCAGCCCTGTTCCACCCTATCATAAGCGACCATCGAGGTGGAAGCAACTTGATGGCAGAATTTCACTTTTTGATCAATATTCTAGTATATCAAGTAGTGGTTGAATAGTCATCATGACATCAAATTATCTGCATTAGAACTACTAGGAAGTAAGAGACATTGATCGCGTTGGGCAGCAATCAGCAAGATTGGCAGTGGGGCACCCCCAGCCGCTCAGCGGAGGAAGACAGGGCCTTCACCTCCAGTAGTTAGTTTCCGACACTCACAGGGGAGTTTCTCCCCTATCAGCAGTGCTGCCCTAATTGGCGAGTTTTAAGTGTTATTGGTGGCAGGTACGCTAAAAGTTCTGAAGACTTGTTTTTTCTTTTTTTAGGGGGGGAGGGGGTGGTAGAGAAGCTGTGTGTTTCATTTTGTTTCAACCCATTTCCCAGATTTTCTAGGTATTGTTTTTGAGGACTATTACTGCAAAAGTACTGCATTTGCAAAGAAAAGTCTGCATTTCAGTTCTGACTCCACTGCTTACTAGCCTAACAATGCTAATCAAGTTACCTACTAGTAAATCTTTGGTCCAGTCTCCAAACTCATTGCCATCGAGTGGATTCTGACTCATAGCAACCCATCGGACAGAGTGGAGCTGCCCCTCTGGGGTTTCGAGACCTTACATCTTTACAGGAGCAGAAAATCCTATCTTTCTCCCTAGGATACATTACACACTAGCTAATCTTTGGATACATTATGGATATACATCTATATTTCCACGCATATACACAAACTTACTTATATGTGTATATATGCTGTTGTTAGGTGCCATCCAGTCTGTTCTGACTTAAAATGACCCTATATACAGAAGGAAACACCCTCTGGTCCTGCGCCATCCTCACAATTGTTCCTAAGTCTGAGCCCACTGTGTAGCATATTATGGATGTGTGTGTGAGTATATCTATATCTCCATATTAGTCAGGGGAGCACAATTGTTCGTAAGTCTGAGCCATTGTGCAGCATATTATGGATATGTGTGTGTATATATATATTAGTCAGGGTAGCACTACCCTGGTGGGTTCCCCAGCCTGTTAACTCTTTACAGAAGGAGAAAGCCTCATCTTTCTCATGTGGAGCAACTGGTGATTTCGAACTGACCTTTCTGCTAGCAGTCCAGCATGTAACCCACTATACTACCAAGGCAACTGTCATAAATGTGTAAGTATGTATACAATCAGAATTTTATATAATATACACATATAGAAATATCTGTACATGTTTGTGTGACGTATACAAGATATATCTAGATCTATGCTTCATGCCACATCTATTTCATAGGGCAATTATCAAAACTAAGTGAGACATGTGAAACATCAGAATAGTAATAACTATAGTTAATTAAAATAAATTGACTTTTAATGGTACAATACATTGTTTTATGCATAGTCATGTGCTACCTAACTTCCAAGCAAAGCCTGCCCACATTGATGTCGATGGTCCTATAGGGTTATAACAGTTCAGAACTCACAACTGGAGAATAGGATGTCTTGAAGGCAATGACTTTGTCCATGCAACATTTATATCTCATGTCTCTTGTATAAATAGTGATTGCACTGCCAGGCGTATAAGGCAGAGCACATATACCAGCTATAATACATGCCTTGACAGTCTTAATAAATGCCTTTACTGGTTTATATGTGTACCACTGTAACTTGTATCTAGACTCAGAAACTGCAGCATCCACTCTCACGTATCATGCATATCTTAAATGTGTTATTATCACTCTGTATAATTTTTTAAGAGAATATTACCATGAAGTGTATCCTAGCTTTCCAACACAGCAAAACCAGTGCTAGTGAAAGCAGTTGCAAGAGGCAAAGAAAAAGTATTGAGTTGGACGTGAAACAACAAAAAAGGTAAACATGAAGGCAATCAGTGAAATGCTTGCAATTTAGGCACACTGCACTTGACCATGATCTCAGGAAACAAGAGAACATTCTCCTTGCTGCTAAAGGTTCGACTCCATCGAAAGCTACAAAACTAATGAAAATGTAAGAAGGATCTGTATTTGATATGAAAAATTTGTGAATGGTATGGATTGAGGACCAAACACAAATGCAAATCCTTCTCAGCACGCTGACAATCACTGCTAAGGCACAAAGCCTATTCAAGCTGCCTAAAGAAAAAGCAGGACTACACCAGACTACCATATGATGTCCGAACAACTTCCGAATCACGTCATGTCCTATTTCACAAAACATACCACGGACATTAAGTGACACATGACTAAACTTAAATTGGGGGGAAAATATCATGGTGACTGGATACAGATATTTTCAGGGAAATTCTAGAAATTCAATAAATGAGCTGATTCATACTTAAAAATTTATTCCTGGATTTTTTTCTTCGCTCACTTTGGAGGGCTACCCCAACAATTAAGTAAAGCAGTAGGTTCTGGCAATGACATTAAAGTATCCATCTCAGATGTGGAAACTTGATATTGTCACATGATATAATCGATCATTTTATCTTTTAAATTTTTATTTAATATTTTTATTGACATCTTACTCATTCCAATATATCCCTGCCCTTCCCATACAGTTCTGTTGTTCAATCCCATCAGATGGGGTTATACAATTATCAGTGCTATCACTCCCCAATTCTCCTTTTATCCTCTTACTTCCCTGTACCTTCAGGGAACCATTGCTCCTGTCACTATCTCTGAGGGGTCATCTTGACTACCAGGTACCAGTGATCTTAACTATACAAATATATGCAAATCTAACATGATTAATGAGGTATATCACATAAAGACCTTAATAGTAAGGGTAGGAAATCTTAAAAGAACTAGAGGATAGTTCAATGCCAAACTGGCCCCTGGATTTATCCTCCTTTCTGTGTGGCCCTTCTGAGAGGGACTGCCCAATTGTCTTGCTGGTGGAGTTTGGGTCTCCCCTACATTCATTGTACAATCGATCATTTTCAATGTAACCAAAAAATATCAAATCCACTGACATTAAACCCATTCCAATATATAGCCACGCTATATAAAATGTCCAATAAAGGGAGAGTTCAGTGCAGTGGGTTAGGCGTTGGGCTGCTAACCTCAAACCCGCCAGTCACTCCCTGGAAGAAAAATGAGACTGTCTACTCCCATAAAGATTTTCCATCTTGGAAACACAGTATTTAGTTACTTTGGGTTGGAATCATCCACTGGATGGTACACAACACGCTTAATATCAAGAGCAGACCAGTTCTACAATCACTACAGGTATCATCAATCAATTAATGATAAACCTGAGTCATCAACACACTGATTCCAACACCTATATCACTAACTTCAGTCCCTGACTGAAGCTGCAACGGGAGATGAAACCTATTTGTTGCCTACGTCATATAGGCCAGATGTGATGGTGCAGATGTGGAGTAAAACCAAGTATGTAAGACTGAGCATTTGGGTGTGACTACAATGCTAGCACCAGAGACCTGCAGGAACTTGCTTGTTTCAGGTGTAGGGCAGGGCAAAGCTTGTGTCATGCTACCCCTGACATCTGATTGGGTAGTCTGTATCACATTATCTCCTACAGTGGAGAAAAAAACAAAGCCAAATCGCTGTTATCCAGTCCATCGCGACCTTAAAGGGCAAGGTAAAACCACCCCCTGTGCGTTTCTGAGACCAACACTTGAAGGGAGTAGAAAATTCCCGTGGAGAAAGACCCATACATTACTTATGCTCCCTAATGCGAGTCGGAATCGACTCGATGGCAGGGGGAGTTCATGATCAACTTACTGGTCTGACAGCTCTTCTATGAAAGAAAACCAAACCAGTTCATACCATTTCCCCAGCACCTAACACAGGAGCTCGGTAAATGCCCGTTGACTCAATGACAATTAGCATCAGTGTCAGGGCTGGGAGAGCATCCCGATCCCCTAAAGGGATAGTTTGTAGACTGGACGAAAACACATGGCGGGAAAGTACTTTCCCGGGATCACCGCGGGAGATCAGCGTGGAAGTCAAATCCCCCGCCCTCCGAACCTCAGCAGCCCCAGACCGGGGGCCGTCGGCGGAGTTCTGGGCAGGGCGCACTAGACTGTCCACGCGGACGCCGCAAGGAGACGGAAGTCTTCCTCCGGAAACCCAGAGCCCCGCCCCACTCACTGGGACCCAGGGGCCGTCCTGCGCCCGCCCCGCCCACCGGAGCCGGTCGGGGCCCCTCAGCCGCCGCCAGCTCCGAGGAAGACTCCGGTCTCCCGCGGCCCGGGCCGAGGACCCCGCGAGCACCTCGTTGCCGGCAATGCTCCACTTGGCAGTGCTGCCCGACGTCCAACTCCGCCATCTCCCCAGTGACGTAAAGGCGGGGCGAAGTCGGAGGGGCGGGGCTACGGTGGCGTCGCGCGCGGTGCCTGCTGGGACCTGGGCAGGCCAGGGGCGGAGGTCGCAGGTGTGTTGGTCCCTGAGGTGTGGTCCCTTTGCTGCTGCTGCTGCTCTGGTGAAAACACAGATGGCGACTTAACACGGGAAATGGTGCCCTGGTGGCCTGAGCTACGGGTCAGACTGGTAACCGCTGGAACCCATCCGCCGTTCCTCGGGAGAAAGATGAGGCTTTCTCCTGCCCTGAAAATATCTGGGCTAGCATAGGACCGCACAGAACGTAGCCATCATTCGGAACCGACTCCAAGGCACCCGCCAACAAGACAGTCTTCAAACCCATAGGTCGTACACCATCACTCCGAGCCGGAATCCAGTGCATGGCAGTGAGTTTTCTAGTCCTTTACCCTGGGAAGTAGTCTCCTCCTCTAGCCAGCCCCCTTTCTGGAAAATTGTGTCACTCATTTCTTGGGGCAGTAACCACAATCAGATCTGGACCCGCCAGGATCTACTTATTCTATAATTAGTAACAATAACTTAAGGAACTAATTTAGATTTTTGCTTCATACCTGGTCAGAGCCTTTCCCCAAAACTCTTAGAATGAAAATGGGTTCACCATCCAGTCACCTGAAACAATAAATGTTCCGCCTGTCTGCCTGAAGAATGAATAAGAACAGACTTCTTGGAGCAAGTACAGCCAGTATACTTCTTAGAGGAATGTCAAGATGGCTCACATACTTCAGACAGGGTATTCAGAGGGACCAGTCCCTGAAGAAGGACATCATGCGTGGTAGAGAAAAGAGGAAGACGTGAAAGAGATGGATTGAAAGGATGCCCACAGCAGTGGGTTTAAACACAGCGAAGATCGTGAAGATGGCTCAGGACCGGGCGGTGTTTCCCACAGCACCGGCTGGGTGGCACTGAACAACAGCTGGAATGAAGCTGGGCTTGGCATACAGCGTTTGCAAGAATTAAGTGAAAGAGGTGGACGCTAGTCCAGTTCCTGATTCATCCTAAAACAATGTAACTTGGTTCTTTAAAGTAAATTCCTCTTTCAAAAGAGTCAAATTCTCCTTTCAGGGCTTTATGAAAAGTAAAGGTATATTTATTTTCTTTTTGTTTCATTCTGGTAGAGAAGATTAAACCGTTTCCAATGTGTGAGGTCCCAACTGCATGCTGAATCCCTTATGGCGCCTCATTTTAGGCAGTCCAGGCTCACTGAACACAGGGACTGACGAAGAAGGCTCTTAGTGACGCCACTGGGCTTTAAGGAAGTGCCACATGTTTGCTAAGCCACCTCAAAGGTACTGAGGGAGGAGAGGCTTTCCTAGGTGGGGTTCAAATGAATACCATTCCATTGGCAAGACACCAGACACCATTCAGAGTGAATGAGTGACAACTGTATTCACTATAGAAAATGGAGACGTGTCTAACATGTACAGCATCTGGTATTCACAAAACAGTATTCCCTGAGGAAGGGAGGAGGGGTGGAGAGGGAAACAGGACTCATGACTTTAGAATTTACTATTGAATAAACCTATGTAAGATTCTCATACCAGAATTGGTTAGGAGAAACGATTTTAAAGCTGAAAACAATCTAAGATATCATCTACCTTTTTTTTAAGACAATGTAACTAAAACAAACAGTAAAACACCTCACTGCCATCAAATTAATTCTTACTCATAACAACCCTATAGGACAGGCTAGAACTGCCCCTGTGGGTTTCTGAAACTAACTTTTTATGGGAGTAGAAAGCCTGTCTTTCTCCCTTGGAGCTGTCTGGTAGTTTTGAATTGCTGGCCTTTCGGTCAGCAGCCCAATGTGTAGCCACTACAGTACCATGTTAACAGGTTCATCAAATACAATTGATGTGCTCACATTACTGGAAGAACAAAAACTCACTCCAATCAAGGCATTCCAGCTCCTACCGACCCAGCATATGAGAGGGGGTGGGGGAGATGCCTTTCAGGACAGGTGCTATCTGCAACTGTTTTTGATGACGTATAAGTCGTTGGGTTTGTTCTGGTCCATGCCAGGATATCTGGTCCTCAGCCTGAGAATTGGGTGTTGTGTGCCTTTTCCCTTGTATCCGTTCTGCTGTTTGAATTGACCTCAGTGGACTCACTTTGTAATTGACCTTCTGTGCTTGGCTAACTTCACTCCGTATAATATGCTCCAACTCTTCCCCCAAAATGAGGTTTTTCATACTTTCATCACTATTTTTTCAGGAATGTGTAGTAATTTGTTGAGTGTGTATACCACAGGTTTTTTTTTAAATCCATTCATCTATTGATAGAAATTTAGGCGGTTTCTAATTTTTTGCAATTGTAAGCCACACGGTGATGAACATTGGGGAGCAGATGGCTGGTGGTGGTCTGTTTCTCACTTCTTCTGGGTACATGCCCAGGAGTGGAATTGCTGGGTCGTATGGTAGTTCGATTCCCATTTGTTTTAAATATCACCAAATCACTTTCCACAATTATTGTATGTATCTTCATGACCACCAAAATTAGTGGAAGAGTCAGAAAAAATTCTAGTATCAAAGACATCTAGTGTTCTTGAATATGTGGTCTACCTAGATTTTATGTTTATTTTACTTGAATGGAACAATTTATACCAAGCTTTCTTGGTATGGATTTGACTAAGAATTCTTGAAACATTCCAAATAGGTGACATAATGAAATATATATTTTAGGTCAGATGATTAGAGTCATCAAGATTACAGCTGCTAGTTCCCCCATCTCTTCATTAGTTTCCTTTGTTGATTTCTGTTCTGTATGCTAATTAAATAAGTCTGCTTCCCCCAAATTTTGTCCTTGGTTCACTTTTCAACTCATATTCTTACTCAAAATTTCTAAGACTCATACATCCACATTCTCAGCTATGCAAATGTCTCTGAAACTCCAGGTCTTTATGTCATTGCATCATTTGTCACATAAAATTTGAGTCCAGAATGGAATACATTTAAAAGCCTTATCTCCCACCATCATCCCTCCTAACAGTTTAACACATTGAAACCTTGGTTTCATTTTCTACCTCTCCTTTCGTAGTACTATCATGGAAGGACCTTAAATTCTGCCAATTCTGCTTCAGAACATTCTCTCAAATCTAGACTGTCCAGTTTCCCCAGTTACCTTCTCCTTCCATCCACTGCACCACCAAAACAAACACACTCCTTTGCGTGAGATTCTCTAATGCCTCACAGCATTTAGTCTCTAAAACGTCAGGCAATTGCTTTTGTAGCCCTTGTTACAAGCTTTTATTGTTATCACTACCCAAGTGGTTTTATCACTGACCTGACAAAATAATCTTCAATACCTTCTATTGGTTGTAAAATAAAATTTTCATTCAAATCAACCCCACAGAAGTCTGAGCACCTGCTACTGGTCTGATACAGAATTGAGTAAGGCATGGTCCGTGAACTAAAGGAAATCAAATTGCTTCTGCTGAGTGTTTTAAACCAAACCTGAACTCGTTGCCATTAAGCTGAGTCTGACTCAGAATAGCCCAATCGTACAGGGCAGAACTTCTGTTTTGAATTGTTGAGGCTATAGCGTTTGATGAGAATATGACCTCCTCTTTCTCCTGTGGAGCAACTAGTGGGTTTAAACTGCTGACCTTGCAGTTAACAGCCCAGTTACACATAACCCACTATCTGCAGTCCTTCATAATCTTGGCCGCGCCTTCCTTTCTTTCAAGGTGACTCCATGTGTGCAAAGCAGAGTGTTCCATTGGGATTTCAGAAGCCAATAATCAAACTGGCTTTCTAAAGAGTCACTGGGTGGGTTTGAATCAACAACTTTTCAGCTTATAATTGAGTACTAACCATTTGGACCACCGAAACGAGATGGTGGTACAAATGGCTAGTACTCACTTAGAAACTGCAGCAACTGGCTCAAACATAGGAACAATTGTGAGGGGGGTTCAGGACCTGGCAGTGTTTTGTTCTGTTGTGTGCAGGGTCCCTATGGGTCGGAACCAACTTGATGGTAACTAAGAAGAACAACAAACTAGATGGTAACTGTATTAGTCTGGGAAGACCAGAGAAACAAATCCAGAGAAACATATATGTGTATAAGAGAGTTTTAAATCAAGGGTAAGTGTACATTAAGAAAGCATCCCAACCCAGTGCTGTCCAAGCCTATAAGTCCAACATTAGCCCATGTGTTCAACACCAATCTACAAAGTCCTCCTCAATTTCACAAAACACATGCAATGATGCCCACTGCAGGAGGAAAGCCGAATCACTGAATGTGTACGCATCTTAGCGCTGGCAGGGCTCTTCAAGTGGCTATTTGAGCACCGAAGGCTGCATCAGGGTAGGTCCATGTGACTTCTCCTCAGGGATGTCTTGCAGGAAGTGAGCCTTGCAAGCTGAAGCAGGGAACTGGCTAAGGCAGCTGCACCTTGGTCCGACCATCAGAAAGCAAGAGATCCAGAACTAGAAAGACCAGGCTCACCAAACTATTTATCTCTCTGCCCCTCAATTATTTGCACATGTGTTTATCGGCCAGGTGGGCACAATAAACCTTAACTATCTCCAGGGAATAAAGAGGGGCCTCTTGATCTAGAAGGTACTCTGGTGGCATGGTGGATAACACATTGAGCTGCTAGCCACAAAGTGATTGGTTTGAACCCACCAACCACCCACTTTCTCCAGGAGAAAGATGAGGCTGTCTACTTTTGAAACTACTTGAAGTCTCAGAAAGCCAATGGGGACAGTTCTACTCTCTACTATAAGGTCGCTGTGAATTGAAATTAACTAGATGACATTAGTTTGGTTTGGGAGTTGTATGTTTTTGTTTTTAAAATCTTGAAAAGAAGTCCAGGTGGTGCAATATGTTGCACGGTGGGCCGCTAGTCACAAGGTCGGTGGTTCAAACTCACTAGCTTCCCTTCTCCAGAAAAGTGAGGCTTTCTATCCCTGTAAAGATTTACAGTCTCCAAAACCAAAATCGGCAGTCCTA